GAGAAGCCAGGGAAAGCCTCCCCACAATAAACACTGTAAACAAGAAGCCAGCATGGAAAAAGGCAGGGAAGTGGCTACACTTCCAGTGTTGCAGCACACTGGGGGTAAATGTTGCAGTTCCTCCGGGATAAACGAACTTGCAATTACATGACTGGATCTGAAGTCAAGGCTTTGCTATTATTATTACTACTATTATTATGGAAAGCTTTGAAAGACTCTTGCATTTGAAATAAAAGTAGTCCTTCCACAGAAAGAGATGCTATAAATTTTCTACACTGCCAAATTAATCTATTTAAATTGCTCTGCACAGTTCTCTCTACCATAAATAACAATACCTTCCATTATCCCCTCTTGTGAAATCAAAATGCTGCTTTAAAGTTTCCCAAATAAGAGTAATCTGGTTTGTTTACTTGGCTTATGATTCTTTTATGACAAGTAGTCTAAGCTTCATGTGATGGGAATATATTCACCTGCTACAGCTAACTTCTTCCAAACCTTGAAGCTTTGTGGTTTTTGGCAGACTTCTCTGTAATACAAAACTTCTTACACTCTTTAGTAGAAAACAATATCAGCTCCAGGCAAAGTCAGAAAATAAAATGAGATGACATCACTTCATCCAGAAGAATCTAAGTGTTTTCACAGATGAGGCTCTGCAAATTTAACATTTCGTTTTACTCTCTGAGCTCAGTTCCCTGAGTGCCATCAGTCCCTGCTCCTGTCCAAGGATTTCTTTTTCACCTGCACATCTGTCCAGCACACGTCCAACACCCACAGCCTCCTCTCAAATTTTGTGCCACCTGGAACAAATTGCCAAGATGTCCCTCATGTCACAACAGCAAGGAGCTGGTATTGATGACAATGGTCAAGTAAAAATTGTCCAAATTTTATTGTCTGATTTTTTTAAGTAGAAGAACAGTTCTAGGCTGCCTAAATATAAACCATTATCATTCTGACTGGAAATAACCTACTACAGATGCCTTCTATTGTGTATGAGTGTTTCCTTCCTAGGGATTTTTTTTTCCTACACTTAATGGAGCTGATCCTGTATGGAATATTTCCATATTTCCCTCCTGTTCTTGGATTATTGATTTGGACTTGTTTGGTCCATCTTGTTACATTTTACAGAGTGAATGATAACCTGAGAAATTATTGAAAAGATCATGGTACTGCCTCCTGAAAGAGAAGAAAAACTAAACTGCTTCCAGTATAAAATAACCTAAAGCATAACATTTTAGAAAAATTGACACTAATGAAATAAATAAAAGGAGAAAAATATGCTAGACACCTCAGTCATCATATTTAGAGGAAAATATGAGAGGCTGAAACAAACTTCTCTGCATTCCGTGCCAAAAGGATTGCCACTCATTAACACACAGAAATGATGATGGATAATTAAGTAATTTGGGAGACAGACCATGCATATGGGAAGTATTTTTGGTATTTTATGACCTCTTTCACTGACCTATGTAATTACTGTCCTGCTGACTAATACAGCAACATAAACCCACTGTCAACATCTCTATTATGAAATTTATTTCAATTCTAAATGACCTTTCCTTTTATTTCTTACACTGGGATCAAAACCATGCTTGTTAAATTGTTCTATTCCCTTCAGTGCTTTTAAAGAGAAAAAGAATATGGACACTTTTTAAAATAATCTATTTCTAAGCCACCTCCAATCTAGTATAGTAAATAAAGCCAACTCATATTTGGCAAGAACAATTCATGTCAAACCAATCCTGTTTCCTTTTCTGACAGGGCAAATGGCTCAATGGGTGAAAGAAGCAGTAGATGTGATATTTTTACTGCAGTAATATTTTAACGTGTGGTATTTTTAGAAACAACACTTAAAAGTCATAGGATTCTATTAGAATACATGGAAGGTGTCACCTTGTGCTGCAGCAGAACTTACAGGGGAAAAAACGGAGTTTAGGGAATAGTGACCAGTGATTTGTCCTGTGGGAATAAATCCCTGGGCACTGCATAAAAATGGGACTTGCCTGACTTCCTAAACTCTCCTGTCATCAGGCACTGGCAATTACACACTCTTGATACAATACCAATGGTAAGTATACAATTTCTTGTGATGTCTTTTTGCCCTGAAATGAACTCAAGCTTTTCAGGAAGAATTTATTGAAATGTACCTTTAAAGTTGAGCTGACTCACTAACTTGACAGGGATTAAAAAATAAAAGCTGAAAGATAGTCCAGACATAAACCTGACACACTCCTCAAAGTAGGAAGATCAGGATGGGCACCTGAAGAAAAGAACTATGAACTATTTGGTCAACTAGGCTGGCTTAGGAACCCAGTGATGTGACAGGGGCAGTTCAAACCCTGGCACGGGAACCTGTGCTCTCAGAAAAAGTTCACGTTTAAGTCATACAGATTGCAGGAATATGAATCTGGAATATGAAATCGGGAATAGGTGATTATAATTACACACTCCAGTTTAGGACAACATTTAATCACTTGCAGGTACTTAAACACTTTCTTGACTAAATGCAAACTGTTGTTTCCTGCATTAGGGATTATAACTTGAGGTCATGGCTGAGATTTCAGATCTAAGTGATAGCAAGTAGATCTCAGATGAAAGTCTAGAAGAGGGATTTAGATGCTAAAAGAGCTTTTAAAATCTGAGCCTAAAAGAAGACAGCATTTCCTTGATAAATATGAAACTATAAACATGAGCAGTGTGTAAAGCTTACAGATTGGACTCTTTCTTTAATATGATCCTCTCTGGAAGAAAATGGACTTTAGCTGGAGGAAACCTGTGGCTCACCAAGCCACTTCAGGTGAATTCTCAGGAGAGATATCTGCAATTGTCAGTGCTTCCTGCAGAACACCCAAATCCCCCCCATTCCTCTCCAGCCCTACCTTGCAGCATTAGCTCTGGCCAAATCCAGACCTTGCTCACAAACTCTGTGTGGCACCTGGCAGGGGGGAAAACTGTTCACTGGAGTGGTGACTGAAACACAGCCTGACTTTAACAGTGCAGGTAACAGCAACTGAAACACAGCCTGACTTTAACAGTGCAGGTAACAGCAACTGAAACACAGCCTGACTTTAACAGTGCAGGTAACAGCAACTGAAACAGCCAGGCTTAACCAACAGGACAAGTGACACTCTTGCCAAGTGACAGAACCCTGTGGGTTCCCAGCTGTCCCTCCCTCTCCAGACCTCAGCCAACCCATCCCTTCCCCTCACCAAGCACTCCCAGCAGCTCACCCGAGCCACAGCCATGGCTGTGGGCTCCTGCACACCAGGAGAAGGAGATTCTCAGAGCAGGAGGCGTTTGGGCTGCCTGAGCACCAGTGTGAGCAAGCAGAGGGAGTGGGACAAGCTGGGACAGCCAAGGCTGTGTGGGGCAGAGCTGCTGCTGAACCCTTTCCCCACCCTAACACACAGCTCTGCACTGCTTATTCATCATTTTGTGCCAGTTTGGGCACCTCTGTGCCACTCTGGGAACACGTGGAGTGATGAGGTTCCATGTGTTATGGAATATGAGCACAGGCATGCAAGTCCCAATTATCATGATGCATCTCTGAGTTAAACTGTTTATACCAAGAGCTGTTTCACTGGATGGGGAGGTGCAGGTGCTTTGTGGCCAACAGAGAATCTCAAAGGGTGGCAGCTGGCCTGGGCCTCTGCTAAATGTGCTACAGGGCTAAAAAAGGGGCGTAGGTCCCAAATGGTCAGTCCAGCACCATTCCTGAGCTTGACACTCACTTTAAATCAGCATGCAATTTAAAAATAAGTATTACAAATGAAGGTTATCTTACAAGGAACATATAATTTACATTTCTAAACTCACACTCTTTGTATTGATGCAGCCCATAAAGTTCCTGCTCTGCAAGGTCAGTGGACATTGTTTATTGCACGTTATGTGCCCTTGCAGTGGTTTTTAAATCCTATAGATGTTTAAAGAAATGCTTCTACTTTCTTTGATCTTCTGAAACCATGCAAGTATTAACACACACAATGCTGACAGAGAGACACTCGATAAAATGGTTATTTTTAGAATTTCCTCACTTCATAAAACAATAGCTAGGATGTCACAAATAACTCACTATGAATTCTTCTTAAAAGCAAACAGAGGAAGTGTGAGTTTAGAAAGAGGCAAGGACTTCAGAAGATGCAATTTATTAAAATACTAGATTTAGTAGTGTAAGTAAAAATATATCTAGAAATACTGATTCTGCTTTGGGTCAGTGAAAATATAAACTAGATATTTTATTCCATAGGTCAGTCTGAAACTTGGGCAGAAATGTTTAAAACTTAATAACCACCAGTGAGTCCAAGTTTGGTCTGAGATAAAAAGCAATAAAAGCAGTGGACTATTACATTTGTGACCAACTTTCTGACTTCTGCAAGGATTTGTTTATGCTATTGCAAAAGTGGGGTTTAGTTGGCTAGTGTTTTTTGTTTCAGATTGCCACTCTATTATTTTATGGATTTAGGAATGTTTCAGCTTCCCTCCTCTATTACCTGTTCTGTCAGTGAAGAAGCAACGAAGTCACAGCAAGTTTTAAACCACTGGCAAGAAGTTGTCCCTGTGGGCTTCTCCCCAATTCCCAGGACAAGCTGAAGAGCTTTTATACAAAATGGAGACTCAGCCATCTGATTACAGCTGGCTTGGGATGGGACCTAAGGACCCGGAAAGGCAGCAAAAAAAGTAAGTGTGCTGGAAATGGTTTCTGAAGGACTGTCAGCAATTTGTTTTGGGGCTTTCTTGAAGCATTATCATGCTGAGTTCTGTTGTTGTGTGTCTGAGGAGTTACTTCAGCTCTCTGTAGATCTGCACCCTGACTCTGGCCTGGAAGACTCCCACATCTCCTAAAGACCCCTACCAAGAAAATGGATGGGCAGCTTCTAATTTCCCTCTGGCCAGATTTTACAAGGTGTTTTGGAGACATCTAATAAGCCCCAGCCAGAGATTCTCAAACTCACTTGTGCCCCAAGCCGGTGATTTTATAGGCACTTTTTGTCACTCCAACCCACCTGTAGTGCTGCAGTTGTGATTCCAGCTGCTGGATGTGTATTTGCAGATGTGGCACCTCATTAGCTCTCACTTCCAGCTCCTTCACTTTGCCAAGACTGTTCAGGACAGCCCGTCTGGCCTCTTCCACCTTCCTCCTCATCTCTGCCTGCTCCCTCTTCAGGTGGCGGTTGCAATCTTCCAGGCTGACCAGAGCTTCCTGAGAGCTCTTCAGCTCCTTCTCCAGCTCCTGACTGAACCTGATGGCTTCTTCAACCTGCCCATCCCTGGAGCTCCGGATGAGCTCCATTTCCTCCAGGACACTTTGAAGGCACTTGGTCTGCGAGTGCTTCTGTGTTAATGCTCTCTTCCTCCCTGTGAAGCAGGATCCTTCTTCTCTATGGCTGGCATGGCTCTTCCGCAGTCCCACCTGCAATGACCAGGAGCACAAAGCAGGGAGAAATTGATGGGGTTTAATGAAGACTGCAAGTGGCTGGACTGTGCTTTGTTGGGCATTTTTGTTTAATCCCATAGAGTTGATCAGCAACTAAAGCTACTTGACCTTTGCCAGATACAGAGACAAGGAGACAATCTCTGGAAAGTAGTTTTTAATACCTAGCTATGCATTTAATTTTCAAACTACTCACACAATAACTTGTGTTATTGCACAAGTTTCTGTGTAGCTTTAATGTCATTACTGTGGTCTGTACTCAGGAGTCAAGTAGTCTGCTGAAAAAGATATTTCCAACGAAGTTGTGTTCATGAGAAGAGGGCAGGGAGCAGCTGGGGGTGTTCTGGAGCTCTCCTCTTTGTCATTTTCATTCTTTCTGGGACCTCTGACTGGTGACTTGGTGTTTGCTTTTTTTTTTTTTTTCCCATTTTGAGATGTAAATGGTAAAAGTGTCTCTGACCTGCCTTGCTGGACATTGTGAAGACAACAGTCATCTACTGCAAGTGGAAGTGTCACAGGTGGAGCAGAGTTCTGTGAGTGCTGTGTTAGTATCAAATCTCTCCTGGCCAGTCCTGCCAGAACAATGGGTCCATGCTGCCCTTCCCTGCTCTGCCTGTTCCACGCTATCTCATGCCAGAGGAATTTAACTGCTGTTAAGTGTGTGTGTGTGTGTGTCAGTCGAGCCAGAACCGCAGAACCAGCAGAAACCAGCCCTGGAATTACTGGGGCTCTGCAGAGGAGCCCCAGACTATTCATCAGCCTGCCTGCAGAACTGGCTCCAACTCTGAACTCTTGTGACCACACTCTGAAGAAAACAGCCTTCTAGTACTTCTCATAGGCACTTCTGGCTGAGACGCTGCTTGTGCTTGTGCAGGTAGCAATCCAAAAGGTCTTTCTCACTTCAGGAAAAACCCTGCAGTGGTGCACACCCGGCATATGGTGGTATCGGCACATCCTGACTGCACGTGCAGTAGAAGAAGCAGCAGCATTGTACGCGTGGGGCTGTAAAGCTGAACTCCCCTACACTTCTAACAGAGTGCTCATCAGAACGATATTTAATGGAACGCCGGTGCCATACATTTCTCCTTAAAGCCTCCCCGTAACTAAACTTTGCTAAAAAGTTCCTGCCGAGGACGAACGAGCAACTTCGGTCTCAGTCTGGCAGTGGAGGGGTTATAAACACTGACCCTCCCAGAGCAGCATCTCTCCTGGAGCACTCGGGGCCAGCCGAGCCGCCCCGGGAGGCCGGTGCAGAAGCCGGCCCGGACTCACCTGCAGCGCCAGGCACCGCGCATCGCTGCTCTGCAGGGCGGCGCGCATGTCCTCCACCAGCTCCCGCAGGCTGCCGTTCTCCTCCTCCAGCTTGGCGAGGCGGTCCTCGGCCTGCTCCAGCGCCACGATCTCCTCGTAGCACTCTCGGGAGCAGGGCCCCGGCGGCCGCCGTTCGGCGCTGCCCGCGGCTCCGCGGCCGGCGGGGTCGGCGCGGCGGCGGCGGCGGGGGCTGCGCAGGCGGATCTGGGTCTCGATGTGCTCGCTCTCCCGGCCCAGCGGCAGCCGCGGCCCCGCGCGGGTGCTGAAGTGGCCGCAGAGCCGCGCGTGGAACTGGCGGAAGGTGAGCTCGGCCGAGAGCCCGTCCCACAGCCCCGCGCACTCCTCGGGCTCCGCCGCCTCCTCCAGCCCCAGCACCTGGCACAGCGTGCGGAAGTCCTCGCCGGGGATGCGGCCCGCCCCGGCGCAGTCCAGGTGGTGGAAGATCTCCTGCAGGTACTGGTCCAGGCCGGTGGCCAGCACGACGATCTCGTTCTCCACGCCGCGGTCCAGCCCGTAGTGGTAGGCGAGGGCGCTGACCAGCCACTGCGTGCGCCGGGCCGGCCGCCCGTAGGGGTCCCAGCCCTCAGGCGGCTCCATCGCGCCCGCCCGGCCCGCGGCGCTGCCCGAGCATCCCGAGCGCCGCCCGGCCGAGCGCTCGGCCCCGGCCCACGGCGGGGCGGGACGGGCGGGGCGGGGCCGCCGCCGCTCCAGCGCCGCTCGCCGAGCGCCCGGCTCGCCCCGCAGCGGAGCCGCGTCCGCCTTTGTCCGGCACGAAAAGGGATTCCGGCAAAGCGGCCAGGTGCCGCCCTGCTCCGCTTGTCTGCCAAGCCTGCGCCCCAAGTGTGCTGCTCATTCTTAACTCATTTCTCCCTTCTGCTTTCTCTTTAACACAAGCAACACAATAGCATCGCACAATCCACTCTGACAAGCAGGGCTCGTGAACGAGTGAGTGGTGCTTGCACTAAATTAAAAACCCAATGTGCGTGAAAGCCGACCTTCTGTTCGCTCAGCCCTCCTCACCTGTGTAGATGACGTGACTTTATGGTGTTGCTGTGTGGGTTTTAAGAGGCCTGCGATAGAGGTGAGGAAGCGTTAAACTCCTTCAAAGGAGCTGCCCAAAGCAGTGCCTTCAGTCCCTCTTTGCCTGCGGAGTAGGACCGGCGCTGTTGAACGCAGGCAGCAGCACGAGCAGGGCTCCTCCATCAGCAGGGACATGCCACGAGCCAGGAGGGACCGTGGTACCAGAGGGGACCGTGGCACCAGCCGTGCCCAAGGTCTGAACAGGGTGACAAAGTCAGGTGCTGCTAACAGGCTGCATTAACAGCCCAGGCAAGGCGTGGTGAGCAGCCACCAGTTTGGGAGCCATCCAAGGAGTCCTGTCAAGAGCAAATTGTTGTAATATTCTCTCTAGGACAAAAAAGGAGCAAACCAATCCGGTTGATATGTGAGGAAAGAGAGTTCAAGTTCATTTAAAGCGCTGCTCCGTTCAGGGTTGGCTTTCTTTTGAGTGAACTGATGCTAAGAAATATTTTCTCACATATGGTGGGGTTTCTCTGCCACAGGCTTTGATGAGAAATTTCTGACCACATTTGCTTTTGCTCTTTAAGATAAGCCAAGAACCTGCGTAGCTTTGTTGAGGAATGGAGAATTGTTTGTAGCTCAGGAGGAGCCTAACATTTTAGCACAGCAGGAAGGTAAGGCAAAGGTTTAAAAGCTTTCCCCTCCTGGAGTGACACACTTTCAGAGGAGTCTGTGAGAAGTCCTCTCAGCCACTGCCAGGGCTGTCTGCCTCCTCTGCAGGCTCAGTATTCTGGGAGTCCCACGAGCCTCAGCTACCAGTGAATTTTCCTCTGAATATTTCTTGTTGTGCAGTACACAGGGAGTGTACTATATTTTGTGTTAGATTCCCTTCTGGGCTTTGAGGTAAATCTTCAGTAAAAGACCACTAAAAATGTAGGTCTACTTCTTTTTATGGATAGGAAGGAAAAGGGAAGAAGTACCATGGAAAATTAATTGCTCAAAATGTGAGGGGCCCAACCACATTAAAAATGAAATCTAAACTGAAATATTTTTTATTTTCTTTCCTAGCAGGTGAGGCAAAACATGCAGTGCGAATAAAGTCTGTAAGAGATGCAACAAGCTCCCAAGTGTATGAAAATCACAGTGGTAAACAATTAGATAGGGCATGGGAAGAATCTTCAGCCCTTCCTGTTGAAGAGTATGAAAACTGACTCTGGCTGTTGCCCATGGGTAACACGTGCTATTTGTAGAGGAGAGTAGGTCCCTCAAGCTGTTGGTGGCCCAAGCCCTGCCGTGGCTGGTCCAGTTCCAGTCCTAGGTGGACCAGGGTGGCGGGCTCGGGAGAGGAGGAGGTGGGGGAATCTCAGGAGGCTTCCGCTTCACGGCCGGGCTGGGGGGCCGTGGGGGAGGCACGGAGTGCTGGTGCTCTGCTTTCTTGGGCAGCTGCTGCTGCTGCTGCTGAGGCCATGTCTGAGAGCTGTCAAAACCGACGCTCTCTGGGCTCCCTGGGGGCGAGGGAGAGTCACGCCTTCTCGGCCGGGATGCTGGAGCTGCGGCAGCACGACTGTGGAGAGAGGAGGTGCCTGAGGCCCCAGCTGCCAGTGGCACACAGGGACCCTCCTGCACAGCAGGGCCCAGAGCTGGCAAGGCTCCCCAGCACGGCTGGAGCTGCTGGCACAGCCGGGCCCGGCTGGACAGCTGCCCCTCAAGGCCCCGGCGAGCAGGGGACGGCTCTGGGCAGGGCCCCTGGCCAGGAGCGGGCCCCAGAGCGCCTCTGCCTTTCAAGGGCAATCTCGGCCCTGCTCTTTCCCCCCCCCGCCTTGCTCTGCCTCTGCCCTGTGCCCCTGGGGCTGCTCTTGGCCAGGCAGCCTCAGTGGGAGCCAGCCCTGGCTGCAGCCCCAGCAGGCCCTCAGGAGAAGGCCCAGCAATTGAGAGGCCAATGCAAGCACTGGGCAGCAGCAGCAGAACCCTCAGCAGAGTTATTTGGAGAACCATGGACTGGCCACAGCTCCACTGCAGACTCACTGGGAATGTTCCCTGACTATGAGCAGCATTTAAAGAAGCTGGAGGGTAGAGATCAGTAACAACTTACTGTTTCTTTTCCTTCCACCACCGGAACCCAACATAGCACAGCACCATGGAAAGTGGCACAGTGAACAGTGTCACCACCGTGCCTATCATGCAGGACCTGCGCACATCCTGGGGACAGACAATTCTTGGGTTGTTCCATGGATTCTGGGCATTTGTGTCTGACTTGCCAAGCACTTCTGTGGGAGCAATTGAGAGCATGAGCCCGTGCTGTGCTGCACTGCTGAGCTGGCAGCACGGTGGGTACGGGCAGGCCGTTCTCTGTTTCCCCCAGAGCTGGGGCCTGCAGGCACCTTGCCGCCCCTTGGCACAGGCTGTGCCACCCAACAAAGCCCAGCAGGCCGGGAGGAGAGCCCGGGGGCAGCAGCAGGAAGCTGAGGGAAGCCCCTGCTCTAGAAGTGAGGGAGTTCTTGCAGTAGCAAACAAAGATGGTGACTTGAAGAGATTCCCACTGTGCTCAGAGTTTGCCTCTCAAGACTAAGAGATGAGCTTGTCAAGAATCCCAGGAAAGATCTGGGAAAAGCTTTTGTGTAACTTGGTTGTGACTAGGTACAAAGTTCCCGTGGGAAAAGATCTTTGCCTCAGCAGCAGGCTGGGTGTTTTAGGCTGTCTTAGTTCTTTGCAGAGTAAAGATTACCACTGAAATGCCATTTTATTTTTTATTGTATAAGTAAGTGTTAAAAATTTTCCAGAACTGTAAACTACTTTCAAAAATACAGACATATTGTGGAAACAGGGAAGAAACATTGGGGGATTTGTCTCTACAAGAAATATTTCTAAATATTTCTAAAAATTAGAAGTGGAGACAAAATAGGGTTGCTTTTTCAGGATTCTAAAACTACTTTGAAAAATCCTTAACTATGGCAGTACTCGCAAAAAAATATTTCGGGATGTCTCTCTACAGTAAATAAATTTTAAAATATTTCTAAAAATGTCTAATTTCTAAAAAGGAAAAACAAAGACACAATGGGATCGCTTGTTCTCAAGAGCCCCATGCTGCTGCCTGCCCCCTGGGCTCCCCCAGCCCATCAGGGCCCCGCCGCTGGTCACAGCAGCCCCTGCCTGGCTCCTGCCTGCCCACAGCGTGGCCATCCCCAGCGGCCCCTGGGCACGGAGCTCAGCCAGTGCTGGTGCCGGGTGGGCTTTGCTGCTGCTACCTCCCAGACGCTGGGGTGCCAGCTCCATCTCTGTCTTGTGACAGAAGAAGGGGCCATCGCCTACGCTGGCGGGGCGGGGGGCTTAACTCCAGTGTTGTTTAGAGGGGAAGGCCAGGGAGCTCAGGGGCAGGGGAAGGGATGTGTTGGTCTCAGGAGGGGCTGGAGGGCCAGTGCTCGGCTGGTCCTGGGGTCTCTAGAAGAACTCGAGAATCGGCTGGGACGGGATACAGGGAGATCAAAAAAGGGATGAAGGCATCTTGGGGAGACCTATGGGGAGGCCAGGCGGCAGTGGGATCTACAGGGTAGTAGGAGGTTTCCTTCTAGATGGCTGTTCTGGGGTCCTCTTCACAGAACCCTTGAGAGGGCTGTCCAGGCACTTATCACTGCCGGAGGAGCTGCTCAAGCTGTCTGGGTGTGAGGTGCAGCCACGGTTTTACAACTGCTGTCCAGAGGTGCTCCTGTGGAGAGAGGAGGTGGCTGAGGCCCCAGCTGCCAGTGGCACACAGGGACCCTCCTGCACAGCAGGGCCCAGAGCTGGCAAGGCTCCCCAGCACGGCTGGAGCTGCTGGCACAGCTGGGCCTGTAGAATCTCCCAAGAGCTCCAAACCGTCTTCCAACCAACCTCCTTGAGAAGCATTTCCAGCACTGTCATCTAGAAGGGAGTAGAAATTAGAAGTATTTCCATGGTGTGGTGGGCTCCTTCTGCCTTTGGGAACTGGGCACTGCAAGGGAGGGAAATGCAGAGACTACAGTGCCTCTCCTGTGCAGGAGCAGGGGCAGGGGGACCTCGTGCCTGCAGTGGCCCCACACTGGGATGGAAGGAGCCCCTTGCAGGGCAGTCGGGGCAGAAAGGACTCCCTGGAGCTGCCAGCAGCTCTAAACCCAGCCCCGGGCAGGGCCAGGGCTTGGCAGTGGCAGCAGGAGCAGCTCAGGCTCCCTGGGGCCGGCAAAGGAGCTGCGAAAAGCTCAGCCCCGGGGCACAGCCCTGGGCCCGGCCCCTTCCCTCTCTGCCCTTCTCCCTGGCTGCCTCACCCCAGTGCAGTCCACCTTTGCTGTAGAGCAGCTGTGCCCTACAGCCACACCCCAGATTCCACAGTTTTCTGGGGGCGGCCCACTCCCACTGTGGGTGTCGGCAGCTAGTGGGGCTGAAGAAATCGGGCAGCGCACCCCTTGGCACAGGACTGCTCGGTACCCGAACCCCTGAGCCTGCATGCTGTAACTGCTCTGTGCTGTGCCCTTCTGCTCCAGGCAATACTAGTCAAAGACATGGATAAGGACAAGGAAAATGGCCACGGTTTTGGAGCTGCTCCAGGGCACTCCCTCCAGCAAACAGCTGCCTCTCTGCATCTACCCAGAGACCGGGAAATCGCAGGGGATCTCAGGCCC